TCCTGTGTTTGCAAAACTAATGATATTTTATACTGAGTATTATTTATTCTCATTTGTGTGATGTACAGGCTGTACTTAGAAATTACTCAGTACTTTAAGAATTTTTTTGAACATTAGCAATATTATCAGTTAAACTCACCCTATATATTTTTCATGGAAGTGCTCCCACAACAAACTATTAGAAAAACTTGGCTCTTAAATTCAAGCTAACAAAATAAATCCCAAGCTTCACTGGACATTGTGAAAAGGATTAAACTACCCTTCCTTTGCCTATACCCAAACTCAAAAAAGCACATACATCCTCTGAAAAATGTCGTGCTCAGTTCCCAAGAATCCCACAGGGATATAAACTGCTGGTAGAGCAGATGTAGAAAGGAGAACCTAAGAGATCTACAGTCCAACCTGAGCTCTCCTCAGGGAACTGCATTTTCCCTGTTAGGTGATGGGAAAATAGCTTCACTGTCAGGTAGTGGTTCTCCACTAACACCAAGGCTGCACCTAGCCCTGAAGCTGCAGTAACTGGCAACTTCTGAGTACATAGTCCCGAATATCCAGTTTCTTCATGGCAAAAAACCTTATGTCCTCTCGTCTTTACAAAACACAAAAGCTCTAAAAGAATACTACCTGGATTTTACACCTATACTGGGGTGGGATAAAGTTCATCTAAAGCATAGATACCTTCATATAGGCTAGACATCTAAAGTAGCCACCGTACTCAGTGAGGTCCAGTTACCTAGTTAGCTGGCCAAGTGCAGGTGGCAGCTTTACGGTTCAGTTGAATATGAGGAAAAAAATTCTTTACTCTGAGGGTGACAGAGCACTGGCACAGGCTGCCCAGGGGGGTCGTGGAGTCTCCTTCTCTGGAGATATTCAAAGCCCGCCTGGACGAACTCCTGTGTAACATGGTCTAGGAGAACCTGCTTTAGCATGGGGGTTGGACTAGATCATCTCCCGAGGTCCCTTCCAACCCTTGCCGTTCTGTGATCAGAACATATATGGTCCCATGCTCAGTGTTTTCAATGCATTTCTGATATTTCTGATAGCTGTTGCTATAGTTCTTATCTTTGTCAGTCTGATGTAGCAAACCCACAATATTTTCTGTGAAACAAAGGAAGAAACAAGGAGTGCAGGGGTAAAAAGAAATCCAGAAGTAACAAAAAATTTGCAAAATACTTAAAAAGGCACCAAGGCGTATGTATAAAACATAATCTTAGCAAACACTGTTATTTTAGCAACCAGATGCATACTTTCTTTCTAATTCTGGAAAGAAAACATATTTTAAAAAATTTTGAAAATCACGTTCCACATACAAAAAGAGCTAAAATGGAGATGTTGCTACCCAATCCACCACTCTAAACAGAGCTACTGTTACATGCCCTGATGTTGATGGGTTTCTTGCCAGCAGTAACATTTTGACATCAAAAGCTAATAGGTTAAATACCATTTTACAAATGCCTTTAGTGAGCAGCAAAGGCTTATTTCTCTGAAGCAATAAAAAGAATATGTACTAGAAGTCATTACAGAGCATGGGTATGTAATCCAGTAATTTCATGCCCTTCATCTATAAGTCTCTCAAATGCCATTACTCTGTGCTAAATTCATTTAGGCTGATTTAATCAAATGAAAGCACTGGATAACTAATATAAACTCGAATTTCCTGAGCCATTATTTTCTATCTTCCAAAACCTAAAGGCTTATGCTGATTTTACTGGGTAATGGTAACTGGCAGGTCATTTGCAGAGCAGCAAAAGCAAACCACTTCAGGATGAGTACAATAATTTTAATATATTAATTTGTGATCCTTAACTCATAAAAACATTCTCCTAAGAAGACTGATTTCTCAGGTCAAGACAAGTTTCTTTATGACCATGACCTGTTACTTCTTCAGGTTAAAAACTAGGAAAAATAAAAGCAATACAGACTAAAATAGTTAGCTTATAAGGAGGATATTTGGAGTTTGCCTGAAATTTTTAGCACTATTCTTTTTCTTTAGTTATTTTCTACAGGCAGGACTAGGTCACAGTGTTATTTGCACCTGAAGAATTTCTTTGAAAGCACTTGGGTTAGTATAGAACAACAAAGGAAAATTTAGCCCATTATCAATAAATTGGGTTTCATCTTTTGTTTTATAAACAGACATAAAGTCTGTTTTTACAAGCAAACATAAATTCTCCTCATTTTACTCAGACAAATACGTTTCAATAAGCTTTCTGGTGTTTGTATGACCAAGTCTGAATCAGAGTTTGCTAAGCAAACTGAGTAAAGATGACATCTGTATTTATCCCTTACACTGAAGCCTGGGTGTCCAAAGGTGGTTAGCTTACAGTCCAGTGGATTCAGTCATGAGTCATCCTATTCTGTACATGAAGCAGCCCAAAGTCATTCTCTGTGGACGTTCCCAAAAGCCTTAGTATCACCCTGAGAGGTAATAAGAGGAAAAATCTAACCTAGTTTTTTCAAGACCTTAAAAGGCCTGTTTACTGAGTATCAGTGAGGCTCAGCCATCAAAACAACTTATAAATACACGGTCATTGACACTCATCATATTTTTGGAGTCAGGAAGAGAGATACTGCCTAGCACAACTACTGAAGACATTAGTTTTAGCATCTAGATTCATCCTGATTGATTATGTCAAGAGAAGTTACAGCAGAGCGTGCACTGGTCCTTTCTGGCACATCAGATATGCCTCCAAATTAAAGCAAAGCTGGTTACATAGTGCCTGCTGACTTATTCCTGCAAGTCTGGACATGGCACCACAGACTGCAACATGTGCCAGCCCTCCAGAGATCTCCTGTACATAGTACAGCTGTGAGCAAGTCCTGTTGTTACCAAATCCAACACAATCATGCTTTTGATGCTAATGTACCATGGGCTTGCCATCATAAAACAGGTAGACTATGCTTCTGGTTTCTCTTCCTTTGTAAATGCGTCTTCAGATGGACAGGAGGTTACACGTTCCCGGTAACCCCCAGTATCAGTACAGGCTGGGGGAAGAAAGGATCGAGAGCAGCCCTGCCAAGAGGGACTTGGGGGTGCTGGTGGATGAAAAGCTGGACATGAGCCGGCAATGTGTGCTGGCAGCCCAAAAAGCCGAGTACTGCGTCCAGCTCTGGAGCCCTCAGCACAAGAAGGACATGGAACTGTTGGAGCGGGTCCAGAGGAGGGCCACAAAAATGATCCGATGGCTGGAGCACCTCTGCTATGAGGACAGGCTGAGGGAGGTGGGTTTGTTCAGCCTGGAGAAGAGAAGGCTGCGGGGAGACCTGAGTGTGGCCTTTCAATGCCTAAAGGGGGCCTATAGGAAAGATGGGGAAAATCTTTTTAGTAGGGCCAGCTGTGACAGGACAAGGGGTAATGGTTTTAAACTAAACCAGGGTAGGTTTAGACTAGATATAAGGAAGAAATTCTTTACAATGAGGGTGGTGAAACACTGGAACAGGTTGCCCAGAGAGGTAGTGGAGGCCCCATCCCTGGAAACATTCAAGGCCAGGTTGGAGGGGGCTCTAAGCAACCTGATCTACTTAGCAGTGTCCCTGCTCCTGCAGGGGGGTTGGACTAGATGACCTCTAGGGGTCCCTTCCAACCCAAAACATTCTATGATTCTATGATTCTATGATTCTATAAACCAACCTTCTCTTTGGTGTTTTTCTAATTTTCCTGTCTGTGTGTGTTGAACCTTTGGCTTCCAACAGCTGAACTGAAAACTCAAGAATTCTTGCTTTAGGTCGAGTCTCTAGCACTGTAAAAATTAAATAAACACTCCTGAAAGTGACGTATTTCTATACACACATTTTACATGACAGATATGCCAAAAGAATTTTGTTCTTGCTAACACTGACTAAACAAATGACAGAATAAATCTCTAGCATGGAAAGCGTTTGCTTCAAACTCTTGTCTACACTCTGTTTAAGGTCCTTTCCTTAAGTGCCTACTGGAGCATCAAGGAGAGGAAAAAGTATTAATAATTACTCTTTGATGTTAAAAGTAGCTTATATAAAGGAATCTGTAAACCTCTTAGTAAGGATATATCTGTCTGTCTTATGGTGATTGCTTGTCTTTTTAAATCCTTTTGGGCCTCACTTCAGTAGAATACTTAAGCATAGTACTTAATGTAAAGCACAACCTCAATTTCCACTGGATCTGAAGTGTGCTTTTGGGTGATTCACTGAGTCATTGTCTGTATCATTAATGTTTCCTTTCAAATTAAACATTTTTCCAGAGAAAAAGAAACCAGGAAACTCAAGAAGATTCTCTAAAGCTTATTCCACTGAAAGGAAGGAACAGAGAGGAAGGCATCAAAACTGATAGTCCACCAAAGCACTGAGAGTATCTGAATATTTTAGTGGCTCCAGTCTTAGGACATTCGCCTGACATTCCTAGTCTTACAAAGCTCAACTCTGAAGAGTAGCAAAAAACGTAAAGCCAAAAGTCAACAGTTATAAAAAAGGCAATATAATTAATACACACCGGCTATTAGTCTGTAAATAGCAGATGAGTGATATAGCAAAAAGCAGGTAACACTCCTGTTTCCTGTTAACTGATAGCTGTTTTCTGACAGGAGTTTGCTTCTTTGCACGTTTGCCTCCTAGGATTTACCACCAAACACATGTAACCATTTTCTAAGCACCTTCTTGCTCACATCACCCCCAAAAAAGTAAATGCAAGTAGATAACAAAGATGCAGAGAATTAAACAGGATGCAAACAATAAATGTCACATCCATTCACAGCTGCAAACAGATGTGAGCCAGAGACTTTTGTGGAGTAATGCCAATTTACACCTAGTAAAGCCTGGCCAAAAATATTTCCATATAAAAGGAACATATGACGCATGAGCCTACAGAATCATCACAATACAAATCATCAAGTCACTATCATATGATGAGAGTGGAAGCATAAAGGTTATTAAAATGGCTTTCACTAAAATGGCTTCAGTTTTAACAAGGCATAATGCATGTCTTCACAGGAGCTAAGCAAAGTAAGGACAACACAAGTTCTTACCTGAGCTTTTATTGGTTTTGTTTTGTCTACTCTTTACTTGCTCAGTCCATAAGGTAGGATAACGAGAAGCTATATCTAGAAAAAAACCAACAGAACAAGGTTTGTAAATGTTGCAATTTTTTTAAAAGTTACTAGCAGCTGAAGAGTAAGTGGCTAGTTCTAAATACTCATGGATCTAAAAAAGAAAAGGACACACTGGTTTCTGTCAGGACAGTTAAAATCTTTATTCATGCAAAGGCATGAATAGTTCCTTCCTTATCCCATTCATACAAAAGGTTGAAAAAAATACTTGCAGACTAAAATTATGTTTAATTAGAATAAAAGTCTCCCAGTGTGGACCCAAAATATGTAATAGCTTCAGATCAGATTCTGTGAGATTTGCAGTGAGGCAGCCACAATATAGGACTACCATTGCATGTAGGCCTTGAGCCTTCCATTTACAGAGCACTGAATTTCCTCAGAGGCAGATAAGCCTGACAAAACATCAACCTTAACATTAATAGGCTGAGGACAGAATTTACCATTTATCTTCCTTATTTGGCCATACAGTTTTAACCTGCACTCTGGCTTAAGTTTGAAACCTGTCTCTGCCCTGAGTAGTGACAATTAAAATTGCTAATGTTGGACTCCAAAGCTACTGCATCACCTCAAAACTTTCACACAAAATTCGTTGCTTGGAAGTAAAGACCCTATTGTATTTGTTGTCTTTATCTGGAAAAAGATACAGATGCTTTCAATTTCGTTTAATTTCTTGCAACTCCTCCAGCAGTTGCTCCAACTCTAAGGTAGCATTTGACATTGTAGTATACAGTCCATATTGCACAGTTTAATACCACACTGTTAATTTCCCATTGATGCTCACCTTCTTCATCACCTTGAGGCTGAGTCTCCAGCGCGGGAGCTGAGGCATCATCTGAATTCAGAATGGAAAAGATTTGCAAGGAGACTACAATTATGAGAGTAAGCTAAATAAGTGTACATACGTGATTGATACTAATGATTTGCACATAGCCCCGGCCGGTAAACAAACAATAATTTAAACATTATTTATAGGTATTACACAGCATAGATATATTACATCTACAGACTGCGGATTATAAATGGATGGCTTTGAGGTTATGGCTGATGAAACGATTGTCTTTGACGAGGCGTGAAGTGAACAGGTCGCTCCCTGGACAGTAATTCTTCATATTTAATGCTGCACATTAATACCTATAGATTATAACTGATCAAATCAGCGGTTCTAAAGAAGTATTAGATAAATGTATAGAACAGGTAAGACCTGTGAAAGCAAAAGCAGTCTGGGGTGAATGAGTGGCTGCAGACGTGTTGGCGCCTTAAAATGAAAGGAAAGTTTCTTCCGGCACAGCAGGATCTATTTAAGAGTCAAGCTGATTTTATAAGCAAGATTCACAGATTAAAGAACCAGAGTATTGTTTGGTCCTCCAGTCAGCCATCTCCATTCGTCCACTACCAACCATTACTGCAAGAAATTTACAGAAATGCTAAGAGGATGTAGGCAATTTTAGGTTCAGTAAAACATGGTGGAAGTAGTGCTGGAAAACAAAAATTCAAGATGAAAAACTATTTTAAGTTAGCATTCTGTGAGCAAGAGAGGTACCCAAAGGCCTATCTTTACCTTATTGTGTTTTCGTTATTTAAAATTATTTCAGGTACTGGGTAAATACGACTTAGTAGGCCTTGCCAGTACATATTTTCCAGTCATTGCTGTATCCTGTAGCATGGAGTTAACTCCAAGACCAAGATGTCCTGCAGCAGTAAACAGCATCTTCCATGCAACAGATTTTTTAGCATGTATTGCGGTTTCACTACTGGATCTCACACCAACATAGTTTCCAGACTGTTTTCCTGGCATTTTCATAGAAGCTAGAACCAAAGGTAACTGAGAAGCTTCCTCTTGCTTGTACCCTCCCGGGGTAACAGCGAGCAGCAGCTTTAAGGCTAACACGCTACCTGTTTCCATTTCTTCTTGCTACTGCAATTCAAAACAGCCTCCTCCTGTTGTCTTTGTTGTCACCATCACTGGTTTTTTTCTGCAAATCTGTATTGTCTTTATGGAAAACATGCAGATGATTTGAAGGCACTTTGACCTTCCTCTCTGGAGGCCACAGCCTAGTTCACAGCAAATACAGATACCCAATAAATACTGATAGAAGGTAAAACTAAATTTGCAGCCATGGAACACTAACCTCCATGCTTTTCACAAAACCAAAGCAGCAGCAGTAGAAACTTATTTTCACTACAAAATTTGTTAACCAAAACATAAGGAGACTTTTTTTAAGAATGCTCATTCTTCACATCCAGGCAATGACAGGATACTTTGCTCCAATGCCATAACAGTCACTTCTCTTAGTTTTGCTGGCATTTTTGTGGTGTCCTCTGGGTGGTGGAATAAGACTATTGATTAATTTCAGAGAGGCCATCAAGCATCCTAATGTACTGAGAATCAAGACAGACATTTAGATCATCAATCAGACAAAGAAGGGTGGGGAGAGGACGTTAGCAGCATCTGAGAAGAGCCAGGGACCACCTGGGAACCAGGTCAGTGTCCCTTTGTGCGGCAGGCTTGTGCTGGAGAATAAAACGAGGGCATGAGTAAAATGCAACCATGTCACTTTAGATGTGAATGTATGCGATGCAAAGGGAGACTTGATAAATCGTGTTCATTTAAGCTCCTTACAGTCACAAACAAAAATAAAGGATTCCAGACAAGTTTTATATATGGGATGGTTCATTCAGTTCAAAGCTGAAAATGAAAGTCCTGACCTAAAGCAAATGGGTAACTTAATGTTAATGGAACCCGCAGTTTGTTTGGAAATACATGAAAGAACAATTTTCCAGTACTTCATAATTATTAGCCTTTAAAGAAGTACTGATTTTCTTAACTTAACAGCACAACAGTTTATTTAAATGTTGGGTATAACACAATGCTGCAAAAGTTCCTGTAAAAAAAAAATTCAATTATGTTTACGGTTGACAAATCAGATAGTCATTAATATTAGCACAAATATAAGTAACTTCTTTAAAATTAATTTATGCCACTGTAACTGACAGCAACATTTAGTATGTTGTTTACAGCTGAATTTAAAATTCTTTTAAGTGTTTGGAGAGTGTAAGCTTTAATTTTGTTTTAAGCATAGCAATCCCCCTCATTTAAATCTACCAGCTATGTTGGAGTCTCATCAGATTTTGTCCTGCCAACGAGATATACACCATGATCTATCTCTAACAACAATCATCTGGCCATGAATGTAATCACAATATAGAGCAAAGTGCTGGGTCCAAGATGACTCAAGCACTGATTGCTATGGAAATAAAATGAGGACTCCAGTTCCTGAGATTTTGGGACTACAGAACACTGCCTTTATTAAACAGACAGAATAATCTGTCCTCCAGGGCAAGCAAACAATATGGGAAAATATTTCAGAGTATAGCTATGGGAAGAACAGCTATTTTCCAAACACCACAGAATAGCAAAGTCTGTAGGGCTGAGACTAGAAAAATATGTCTCTGCATACAGAGACAAATACATGCATACATACACAATTCTATGGTTCTATGATATACATTTATACACAGAAGTTTACTAAATATCTACAGTGCTGACATAAAATGAATAGCATGTATGCATGCATATGTATTATATATGCATATATAATACATGATGAACATGTATTGATAATTTAAATCACAGTGGTGCATCCCACAGCTATTTTAGGTTCCACATAAAGGCCAACTGAGATATTTACCTGTTTTTCCTGCACCTTCTCGTTGTGGCAGCTTCTCACTCACTGAACCTGCAATTGGAAAAAGGAATTAACCAGAAAAGTATTATTTTAACTTTTAACATGTTTTCTAAGTAGCACAGTTCAGCTTTAATGATTCATTTTTGTTTATTACAGCAATAAACATCAGCAAATTCTTCCCTTGCAAACCAAAGATTTTAGCTTTGCCTGACTTATGCATTTGTGTACCATCAATTTAGTGTCAGATGCTACTTCCTGGCCACTGCAGGACCTAAGAAAGAGATAACATTAAACACCACAGGGACACAAGTGCAAGAAGGTGCTCATGTGCTGCAAAGCCCACGTCTCCCTTCCCTGCTGAGCCAGCGAGGACGGGTCCTGCTGGAAGGTGCATCGCCCTCCCCGTTCCTTGGGCAGGGCTGCACCCTTCCTCCACACACTGCAGCTGCTCTGTGGGGCTTCTTCAGCCTCTACCCCCATCCTGGTTCAGATTCAAAACTGCCCCTTTCGGCTCTAAATACCCCATACAAGGCCCTCCAGAAACTCTGTGCTGGTGTGGAAAAGTGTGCATGTTGGGGGAGGCCAGAAGAGTGCCACCTTCTGAGTTTGAGCCTAAGCTGGTTGCAGGAGACATCCTCAGAGCTGTGGCCCTTAGGAAAGGAGACAGCAGCGGGAGGGAAGGAGTTAAGAAGTTTGCAGGAGATGGATTTTAACAGTTTATTCTACTAGCCTGGACTCCAACCCAGCATCCAGTCTTGATTTCAAGTCATCGAGAAATGGTGCATCTACTGGTTTTTTTAGCAGTTTTTACAGGAGGCAGTTGTCCTTAGGGTTTAAAATAGAAGTACCTCCTTATTTCTTGCTTATGTCTCATTATTACAACTGTTTATATGATTCTAACTCCTAGCCACTTCTTAACAATATTTCTATCTCTGCTGCATTAAAAAACCACCTTTAAAAGTGGTATTTTTCTCTCTAAAGAGCCACATGGAGCCATCAAAAATTAAAAAGCATGTCTATCAATTCTTGCAACATTGTCTCTTCTTACATACACCTGTTTTAATAAAAAAAAATGCCAAACCCATGTCTGCCAGATGCTCGGAAATGTGTGAAATAATTTGATTGCCTTAATTTTCTTCATTTATTTCCTCCTGAAATAACTAAATTAATTGTGTTTAACAAACAAACAAACCAACCCCAAACCTTGCAGCACAATAAATCTGTTCTAAAAGGACAATTTAAGTAAGAGAACCCACTAAATCACAGGCCTTGTTTACCATGCTGAACTGATGGTTACCTCAATATGACGTTTAGACACAGGCATCTGCCAGAGGGAAGACAGCTACCATCACAACACTGGCATGCTGATTTTAAGGCCTCCATAAAAGAACACATGACAATGCAGCCAAGCTGGTATCACCTTCTGAAGGATTCAGCTTTTAATACAGCTTTTATACATCCATATAAAAAATATTCTAGTTTAGACGTGTTTCCTTTTTTTGGTGACACTATATTTTTATTGTATCATGTTTGAATCTCCAGAAATTCGATATACTTAGTGATGCATCAACATTCATTCAGACAGGAAAAATAAAGCCGTTATCATTGTAGGAATTATATCAAAGGGTGTTAGGGATATCTTGCTCTGAATAGACTGCAATACTAATCCGTGTTGTTCACTCTGAAGAGGAGGCAGATTCTTGCATTTATGCTAGTTGAAGCCATAAGATCTGAGCTTTTTGGTGCTTGGCTTGAATTTGATAAGAGGCTTGGCTTGAACTCAAATAAGATGTTCCAGTTTTAGGAAGTACTACATATAAAATTGCAGGTTTTTCTAATTGCACTAAATGCCAGTGATCCAATCTTTCCTCAAATTTCATCCAGTTACAATTAACTCTGTAGTTTCTCAATTTAATTTTGATGCACAGGAGTATAATTGTAATTCTTTTGCAAATACAGAGATTTTAGGTCTGACTATCACCCACATTAAAGTATTTTACACCAATTTGTGAGTAGAAAAGAGGCCTCAGCATGGGGAATGTGTGTGATGAACGGCCATTAGTAGTCCCTTTGTGCTAAAAAGAGTTAAGTAAAGCATGTTTGACACCAGTGTTGTCTCTCTATGTACATTCAGAAGCACTATTATAAATTGAACTTAAAATTCAGTTCATACCTAAGTAATTTAACACATTGGTGAAATTTATGTATTATTTCACATCTTAAAGAAAAAGCTGAAAAAACTTTCCAGATTTCATTAACACCAAGATGACTTCAGATTGCTCCATCTGTATGTGAAATGGTGAGAAATAATGAATATATGATATTCATATAAAGTCAGGGACAACTGAATTCTTTGCTCTATGCTTAGGGTTGGGGTTTTTTTTTACTGGATATTTTGATGGCAAATCGATGGACAGAAGAAGAGAATGGCATTTACAACTTTATCATAGTGAATCTAATTTTCTTAAGAAATTAGATGATTGCCAGGAAAATTAGTTTCACTGGGCTAACATTAATTTTTTTAATAGTCTTAGGACACTAACAAAAATATTCACAGAATTTCCTACAAAGGGAAATCTGCACCCTTCACAGTTTCACCTGAAATTTTCAATTTACACAGCAGAAATTTTTCTTATCTCCACGTTGGAGGTGAGGAGGGGTTATTGAGCTTATACAGTTTTTTCTACCATTTTCTGAGTATATTTGAGGTAGAAGTACTTCTAGCTTAATTTCTGATAGGAAGTTGCATTTACAAGTTTCCAGGAAATTGTATCTTCAATACTCACGACAAATGCTCACATTTTCAGCTAGACAAGAAACAGAAATAGCAACTCATGACTTACCTAAAAGTTAAGCAATACAATCAGCTTCCAAACAACCAAATCACCACATAAATATATTTATGGAAGGGGAGAGGGCAAGGAGGGATATTAGATTCAGCAGCATTATTTTAACAAGAAGAATTCAGCACCGTTCTACCTTGTATGTTTCCTTAGCCATCTATGCATTTATTATTCTGATGAATTTTTAAAAAAAATGCAGAAATATTTATGCCTTAGTTTATTGCAAATCCCACAGTTCTGCCCAGTTTCAGCCTAACAACATCTGAGGCACAATAATTCTTCCAGTGAATTTGATATGAGTTTTGTGGTTTGTGATTTTAGCATATACATTTTCTACAGTTCTGATCATATGCAACTGTGCTTTGAAAAAGAAGGTGAAAGTCTACTATTACCCAGTTTAAGCAATGATTTCTGATCTCCTACTAAAGAGTATTTGATATGCAATCACTGAATGAAGTTATCAAGAAACAGGACAGCAAACTTCCCATTCTGTTCTATATTTCACATATGTGTGTCTGCCTATTTATAGGGAAAGTACTATGTATTGGGACAGAAATAGATAATTCAAGGATGGATATTTTTCCCAGCTAACAGAAGCAATATAATGAAAACTAAAAAAGATCATTGCCTTCCCAAATATATTTGTTTTCATCGTATTATCTAATGATAATACTATACAGGCAGGAAGAGTTCTGAATTTTTAGAAGTACTTGTGTTTTGGCCTTAAAAGATCATCTTGGCATCTTAATTGCAAGGTAGCCAAACTACTTCACAGAATAATAAAACGTGTCCATACCTCTACAATATCACTGGCAGAAGCCCAGAAGAGTTAATAAGGCATAAAAAGCCTACAATAGGTGAACACTGTATTTTCCAATGATAATTTGACACCTGCTTCTCAATTTCTGCCCCATTTCCCAAGACTCTGTGCCTGTGGAATTTCTGCAGTTCCCTGCAGTGCTGGTAACAGAGATGGGGAGTTGTAAAAATGTCTTTCTTATGCCTGGTGTTCTTTAGTGAAAGTATTGGGGGACATCCATCATTTTTAAGAAGCTTTCTTTTTAATGCTATCATGGGAATGTGTTTGATTTACTTGCCTTCTCACCACTGCTCCTGCAACAGTGGAGATTATTTCCATGGAGCAGAATGGCATTCTGAGATTTATCATGTGTGTTTTAGCAGCACCAAGTGTTGGTGTGGGAATAACTAGAATGGATGGAAGAAGAGCATCTTTCAGGTAAAGATGTAGTAATTGAAGCAAAGGGTTTACAGTTCAATTAGTTTTTTACAGTACAATCAATTGGACAGTCCTGCATTTTTTAACACTGCTTATAACCTTCCACATCTTATGTCTCTAGCAAATAAGACAGCTTTAATAAGAGCAACCAGAACAACACAATGAGCACAAAATTGCTCATACAGCTATTGTAGATACATAAAAATTATACATGTGACATTTTTCTGCCCCAGGAACTGAGATAACTTTGGGAAGCATCACATTATGCAGCTAACCTATATTAACAATTAGATAAACTCAGGTTGATTGTTTGAACTATCTAATATTGTGATAATGTAAACTAAATGTGAAGCACAGATAGGGAATGGAATCGAGAAACCAAACTCCTAACTGCCCGTACTAAATTCTGTTCCATATTTCCTCTATTAAAATCCAAGTTCTTCCAGGCTGCCATGCTCTTCTTTCCTATTTCTGGATATTCACCAAAGTCAAAGGTGGTTCTACTGGGAGAAAATGAGAGGCAACAAATTATCCCATAATTTAGGAACAGCACATTTGATTAGACATGTATTCAAACCTTATCTGAAGTTACTGAAGAACTAACCTAGAATTCAAAAGAAACACTGAACATTTTCATTAAAAGACAAATTTTCAAACATTCTACAGTATCACATTTCCTATGAGAAAATATTACAAAAGCATGTTCACAATTGACTCTGCCTGCCATCTTGATTGTCTGTGCTCGTTCTGCTCTAAAGGGAAAAGGTGACAAAAGTGATCCTAGGATAAAAAATTCTGGCACATACAAACTAGGAAATTTGCATAAATGTTTTTGAAAGAGCTATAGCAGCATGCACAGAAGCAACTGAAAATACATAAACACGATGATGTCAGGATGCCACCACTACAGGACATCTGCCTGCAATATCAAAAAATAGCAAGGGAATGCCTGCAGAGAGGCTAGCAAGCACACAATGGATTAGACTGACTAGGGACAACAGTGTTGGAAGAAGTGGCATCCCTGGAATACTAGTTAAGATGGGGTTACATCTACTTGTCATCTGTATACCCACTAACATTTTGATCATAGTTCCTGTGCATGGTATTACTAAAGAAAAAATATAGAAGAGAATCAATAGTGATCTGGAAAACATCAACAGTCCTGGGGGAAAAAAAAGCTCTGTTATCCTAAACAGATGGCAATTTTGAAGATATACGGGAAAATGGGAGAGGGGTGCAGTTGGGCTTCAGGCTTTCATTCTGAGATGCATGAGCAGTTTTGCCTCACTATCACAGAATCACAGAATCACAGAATTGCAAGGGTTGGAAGGGACCTCGGGAGATCATCTAGTCCAACCCCCCTGCTAAAGCAGGTCCTCCTACAGCATGTTACACAGGACTTCGTCCAGGTGGGCTTTGAATATCTCCAGAGAAGGAGACTCCACAACCCCCCTGGGCAGCCTGTTCCAGTGCTCCGTCACCCTCAGAGTAAAGAAGTTTTTCCTCATATTCAACTGAAACCTCTTATGCTTCAGTTTGTAGCCATTGCCCTTGTCCTGTCGCTGGACCTCACTGCAAAGAGTCTGGCTCCCTCCTCGTGACTTCCACCCTTAAGATATTTGTATGTATTGATGAAGTCCCCTCTCAGTCTTTTCTTCAGGCTGAACAAGCCCAACTCTCTCAGCCTTTCCTCGTAGGAGAGATGCTCCAGGTCCCTTTATCATCTTAGTTGCTCTCCTCTGGACTCTTTCTAGGAGTTCCTCATCTTTCTTGAACTGGGGAGCCCAGAACTGGACACAGTACTCCAGGTGGGGTCTCACCAGGGCAGAGTAGAGGGGGAGGAGAACCTCCCTCGACCTGCTGGCCACACTCCTCTTAATGCACCCCAGGATACCATTGGCCTTCTTGGCAACAAGGGCACACTGCTGGCTCATGGTCAGCTTGTCATCCACCAGGACTCCCAGGTCCCTCTCGGCAGAGCTGCTTTCCAACAGGTCAGCCCCCAGCCTGTACTGGTGCATGGAGTTCGACCTCCCCAGGTGCAGCACTCGGCACTTGCCCTTATTGAATTCCATCAGGTTCCTCTCTGTCCAACTCTCCAGCCTGTCCAGGTCCCGCTGAATGGCAGTGCAGCCTTCCGGCGTATCAGCCACTCCTCCCAGTTTTGTGTCATCAGCGAACTTGCTGAGGGTACACTCTGTCCCCTTGTCCAGGTCACTGATGAACAAGTTGAAAAAGACCAGGCCGAGTACTGAGCCCTGGGGAACCCCACTAACTACCGGCCTCCAACTGGACTCTGCCCCGCCGATCAGAACCCTCTGAGCCCTGCCATTCAGCCAGTTCTCAATCCGGCTCACTGTCCACTCATCCAACCCACACTTCTTGAGCTTCCCTATGAGGATGTTATGGAACGTTCTGAGAAAATCTGTAGCTGCCTTCTCTGTTGAATGAGAAGATTTCTTCAGACCTCTCAAAACTGAGCCCTTAGCCCTTACTAGTGCAAAATCCCCTAGCACTTCAAATCTATTTCCAAACTCTGCTGTCTCTGGACTTATTTCCTGAGGGACAAAGGAGAAGTGGTGAGCAGTAAAACATGGAGCACTGATACAAGCAGGAGAGGAAACATGCATAGATAGTCCCGAAGGGTCTCCTAACAATTGAAAAGTTACCCACGATCTTCTGTGGAGCAAAAGCAGACTCTGCATACTCACCTGGGCCCTGGAGCAGTCTATTTACCTCTGAGCTACTAAATTAAAACCAAGTGCTGCTCCCACCTTCTCCTGAGCATTTCTCTAAAACTAACTTCCCTTCTCACCCCTCCAAAAATGAGCTGAAAGAGTCTGGCAGTTTATCTGAATATACCTTTGAGAGGAACTAGGGTTTGGTTCCTATAGAGATAGAATAATTCTCATATTCATCTATTAATTAACCTGGTACTACACTGAAGCTTCTCCTTGATAGTAACACTGACTGCAAATACAAAAAGTGAAAGTACAGTAACTAAATCAGCAACATTTTGAGCCAAACATAATGCCATAGATTATAACACATCTGCCAAACAATCATTTGTTGAACTTTCAGCACCAACATAGCCCCTTTTTCACCAATGTCAGTGAAAGAGAGGAAGGCACAAACCGATATTGCAAAGCAACGAAGGCATGCTTTCAGGGAAGTCCTGGCTCTGGGCATGTAAAAGCATATCTGTTAAAGAATACATTGAAGCACACAAATGCTATCCTAACCACGTGTCTTCTGAAGATGTGATATGGTTATAAACAATAATTACATTAAAATGAATGCACATTGTTCTCTATTTTAAGGCTTCTGAACATTTTATGTTATTTTTCACAATTGACTCCCATTCCACAGTGGCTCTTCAAGACTGGATCAAAAGGATCAGTCTGAAGAGTACTTTCTGGCTAAAGTTCACCTACAGGCAAGATGCATGGGAGATTCTGGAGATCATGTAAACAAGACAGCCCTTAACAGTGGAATTAACTTTTTATAATCTTTGTTGAAACTTTCTCAGCGTTCTCTTCCTTCCTTCACCTATTTATTAAAAACACCAATGTTGTGCTTGTACAATGGAAGTAGATCAGACCGGGTGAATTCCCTCAAAGGCTCTAATCCACTTCTTTTCAGCTTTTTAAAAGTTTAGCTTTTTAAAGCTATTTCTTCTGCTCTCTGACAGAGAATGGCACTGCAGCAGAAACAAAAATACAATCCATAAGCTCAAGTATTTCTGTGCAATTCTGTCAGCCTCAAGGAAGGTGAAGCTATTCTGGTAACTGTTCATACACTAGGGATTTATATTTATTATCAATGTCAATGAAATAGGGTCAGAAGCAAATTCCTAAAAAACAGTGAACCCGTTAATTGTCCTGATGAAAGACAAAGGGCACATGGCAATGAGTTTGATTTGCCAATTAATTTATACAGACAATGATTCCATTATGTTCTTAATGTTTTGTTTCATTTTTATTTCTCCTCTGGATTCAGTCATTCATGGGATTTGCTGCGGGAGTTCTTTCATTGGGCTATGTTACAAATCAAGGCATTCACACTCCATATTTTTTGGGGGGGTGGGCTTTTTTTCTATACTCTAATTACTTAAAATATTGAAAAGGCAAAGCCCTCTGATTTTTTCTGCAATGACTTTACATGCAAGAGAGCTTCAACATAAAAAAGGACTACCTCAGCAAGGCAGTTGCATGGTTTCATATATTGACACATAAACATCATACAGATAACCCCTGCAGAAAACCCCTTCGATAGCTAGATTATAGTACAAATAAAGTAGATGGATCATAGACAGAATCACAGGAAGTTTTAGGGTGGCAGTGACCTCAGAACTCACGCAGGGCTCGCTTAAAAGCTAGACCAACTTTCCCAGAGCCTCATCCAGTTGAGTTTTGCAAACCCCCAAGGACGCGGAGTCCACAGCTTCCACCAGCACCTGTTTCTGGGCTGAACCACTCTTCTAGTGAAGAACATTTTTTACTTAAGTCTAATCAGATGCCACAGATAAACTCTACTGTTCATGAGACAATGTCATAACCTGGCCAGCCAAAAATGTCTTACCTGGGCACCGGGGAGTTTTGTGGGCCACAGCAGTGCCGCTGATAGGACGACCATTGGGAGTGACACACCAGCAGTATCCAGTGTAACTATGGCACTGAACCTGTCAGAAATGACATGAACCATATGCAGTTTGTCAGACATATGCCTCTTATCCCACAGTGTTCATGACACATGAGTACAAAAGACTAGTCCAGCAAACTGTATCAGAAAAAGCTAGAACAATAAACCATAATGGACCTAATCTCAGTCCTACATATGATTCTTTAGCATAAAGAAGACTCTGTTTCAAGTAAAGTGTGGTAGGTCCTTCAGAATCCAATGGAAGAGAAAGCTATTGAAATATGTGGTTGTTTACTCCCTATTTCAGAAGAGTGAGGTGCAGGTGTTATGAAAACCTCACAACAAAGTTCCTCAAGGGACACATAAACTGTTCCTGAAGCAAGCAATCTCAATTTTTTTTCCACATAGAGAACATATTGTTCCACCCACTGAAGGAGCAGGACAGAGTGCTTCTGCCAGGATTATTCATATCCCAAGCTGTCAGAAAGGAAAGTCTTGGAATTCCTCTTAGAAATCAATTGCATTGTATTTCCTGAGGGCCAATATTGCTTCCCTCACCATGTTTAAAACAAGAAGGATTGTCTTCTGCACAACTCCACAACTGAAATGCAGTACAGAAGCAGCAGAACGTGCTCTTGGTTGGGAATATATCACAGGATATATTCTAACTGCATCCCTTCTGAATTCCCTCATCTAACCTAAGTAGATTAGTCTCAGACCATATGCTTGTGCAGAAATTCATCTGAGAATAGGGAAGAATCCTGTATGATTCATGCTTTAGCACTAAGATATGGACTCTAGTCACAATATTTCTGGTTGGGATCAGGAACAGATCTGAAATTCCAAGCATTTTACCATCTGATGAGTATTCAGGGGGCTACAAGAATGACTCAGCTGCCTCAGACTAGAAGAACAGGGAGTGTATCACATGAACAACGGTAATGTTTGGCTCTTTTGCTGGCCAACTCTGAAAAAAAGAACAAGGACTCGGCACGAAACATGAATTTTCCTTCCATTGTTTAACGTCAGTGTTAGCACAAATTACATTTCATTTTGAAATTACATTTCTCTTCATTACATTTGTCTCTTCTTCATCCCCTGAAAACACGCATATTCTGACTTTCTGGTCATGCAACATAGTGAATGAAAACTTTTCAACCTGACTATATGTGCCATCATCATTGCATTCTGGGATAAAGACTTGTTGAAATTCCTTGCGAGCTTGTTCCTGGGTATACTTCCTCTCAGCCACACATCTGGAAACATCTAGAGAAAGGGAGAAGACAATGCAATGGATGATGCAATATAAAGAAAGAATAGGTGATTACCTAAATTAAAGAAAAGGAAGAAGGCTCTGAGACTGATGTAAAGAGAACCAGAATTATAATCAGGAAAACGTACAATCACTTGCATTTTTTTAGGAAACAAAACCAATGGAAGACAATAACTTCTGGGCAATATTGTCCAAATTCACCTCATTCACCTGCATGATAGTAACATTTTTTGCTGAGTATCATCTGTGAATTGCTAGAATAATCATGTTCTCCTCCAACCTTTGACTGCCTGTCTAACCTGTGAGTCCTTCTCGTTTGCCCAAATGTGCTCATGCTGCCAAGCAGAGTAAACAAATGTGAAATTTTTCCACCTCAAAGATGAGAGGCCACAAAGTGAAGCACAGAGGGGAAGTACAGAACTGGGAGATGTGATGGGGAGATGCCTAGAGAGACAACCTTGCTGGTCCTTCTGCTGCCAATGGGCAGAGGCCCAAAGTGGGATTCTCCTATCAATTTAATATGGCAATAGCTGCCACCTTGTGCCCCACAATATTCTTTCAATGCTGGTGGCAGAACTAGCTTTCTAGTGCTTCAGGAAAGGCAAAGCCTGCAGCAGGAGTACAGCTGCCTTGTATATCCTACTGGGAGTTTACACTGAAGTAAATTACTTCAGTTAGGCAGCAATCTCAGTTGTGACTACAGATTTGCCAACCAGGCTGGTAAAAAAAACCAAAATAAAATATGCTGTACAGCAGAGTGGCTTGTTAGGTAGGTGATTTAACAGCAATTTTGGACATGCTTAATTCATATTATGCTACAATTTACTGTAACAGTTTATGAATTAGACGTCGCAGAAGTCAAAGCCTACCACATGGCCCTTTTTTGTCCACTGTGTGGTTTCTTGAACCATCTCCTGCACTGCTTAGTACTGGTCTCCATCCAAGACAATGTAGCAAACTATACAGCTTTAATTTGGTAGAGTTTCTATACTTTAATATATTATATTGTCTAATAATTAATATATTATATTGTCTAAATACTACATTTCAATTAGGCAGCCAAAGGGTGAGAAAAGACACATAGCATATACTTTTTTTTTTGTTTAAAGTCACTACAAATTTTAGCATGTTGCTGATGCAGAATCACTACTTCAGGATCTGCTTGAGCTAAGCAATTTCGGGACAAATGAGAATACCAGGCAAGCTTAAGGTAGTATTAATGACTTCAAGATGCAACTGTAACATCTGAATTAGAATGATCTCAAGCATACAAGCAGAGAAATTTGCTGCTTCTGATCCCTGCTTTGTTTAAAGACTAGTTGACAGTAACTGGATCGTTACTTTTTAGGGCTAAAACTGTCCAGCAATTACCTGTAAGACAGGGGTGTTGTGGTGATTTGTGAACGTGCAGTTCTTAGGAAGCACAGGAACAGGCTTTCTCATCCATGCAAGTTCCACACTGAACAGAATCTGAACAGTGAGGTAACACCACTTTCACTTCCCCATTTGGTACCTGCATATCCTGACAGGGTTTTGGCATCTCACAATCCCGAGGAGCATACAGATGAGCCAGCTAAGTTCCCAGTCCCCCAAGCACCCTCTCTGTGCTGTTATCATCCAGACATACATGTACAGAACCAGCACGGAAGCTTGATGCAACTACAGAAGTCTTTGTACAGGATAAATCCTTCACGGGTCATCTCCACTGAGCTTTGGACAACTCACCGGGCCACATTAGCATAAAAAAATTCCCTTCAAGTCCTAGTCAATCTGGTGTGGAAGTGTACCATAATGAGGACAGAAACTGGTCCTCAGCATTTGCATTCTGAAAACAAAATTGGGGCCCCTTAATTCTAATCTTCATATTGATTTCCCTTCTGGTCTTGGATCCGTGTGCACTACTTCTGTGCATTAGTTTACCCCTCTCAGAGGAGCATTATGAGAGTTCATGTTGGTAAAATGCCCAAAACACAAGTTGTTTCACTTTGAAAAACTATGTTTCAGTCTTAACAACCTTAATCGCATTATGCTGTTTCAGTAGGAATATTCACAGAGATGCAGTGTTACCCAAAATGGACAGAAAAGCTCAACCATCCAGGAATGTGAGAAAAATAATAAGGAACTGAATTATTTGTACTCTGGCATTTTAATAACTTGTTTCATCAAGGGAAAATTATAGCCAATGTACTGTGCAGCTCAGGTAAAGTCTGCTAATATATGCACTGCCAAAGTTTTTTTTGGGAAAAAAGAAACATTTTAAGCAAGCTTTAGTGTCGTAAGCCTTCTTCTGAGTATGGTTTGGTTATACAGTACTTAATAACATGTGGTTTTAATGTAGCTAGTATTTTAACTGAAAATAAATCACTCCTTTGTTGGACCTCTGTCCTCGTTTTTCTAGAATGACATGTGGTTTAAATGTCTAAAAGGAAAAGTGATATAAATTCCATCACATAAGGTCTCTGGTATAGTACCAGCAGGGTTGTAAATTATCTCCAATATTTGAATTATCATAAAAACATGCCAAGGAGAAAGAGGAGTTCTCCAAAACTGTCCACCACTAGTTCCTAAACAGCCTGATGCTCTAAAGGCCTCCTATTTGTGGATGACCTAATATGCTTTAAAATCAACAATGACCAAATTTAGGGGAATATAAAATTCACAATTGAAGCCTTATTTTGTATTATATAACCATGGAAACATTTTAAAGCTGTTGGGTATTACTGTGCTTTAGTATACCCAAAATAAACCCATGAGGAAGATCTATTATCAAGTTAAGCATCTGAAACTGTGTATAGTCAAAACATTATTCCTAGTTCTGGTTTTTTATTTCACCAAGGTATTACCACAGGGGAATAACTATGACACAGAGATGTGGTCCAAACCTGATTGAAGAAATGTAATAGGGTGATCAAGATAAAAAGAAGACATACAAAAACATTCTTCCTCGGAATACTAATGACATTAGATTTAGAGGAGCTAAATTCCTTCCAAATAAAGCATCACTGAAGCCAAAAGAAGTTATAATATTTTTTATAATAAATTTGTAAGATTACACCATTTGAGCATCTGCCTTGGTGTCCCAGTTGCAATACCTTCTAAATCTACTGTACGATTTCAAACAAATTTTCCAAAGAAAAAGAAGAATTGAAGACATTTAAGTGCTAGACATTTATGTAAAATAACAAGCTGAAAAAGGACGAGAAAATTAATTCTTGCCATGATTGGGAGAAAGGCTGAAACATGAGCTCACATCAAAATATCAGACAAGAGATAGATGCAGGGAGACCTTGCAGCTCCTAACAGGCAAAAGACAGTGATGGGTGAGATCCTAATCCATAGGGAAACAAACCTTCCATGTGGTCATTGCTCATGCTCACTCAGAGAAGCCAAATCGTGGACTCACTGTGCAAAGTCCTGTGAGTGCACCCAGACAATTCTTGTCTACAAGCCCCTTTGTGCACCTTGCACAAGTGTAATTAATGAAGATGACTTGCATGAACCTCTGATTAGCAGAATGAGTCTAGACTTATGTGTCTTGCCAGAAGGAGGTTTATAGGAATAGTGACATCAAAGGGGAAACCAGTGATGTCTCTCACATACAGATTGAACTTTCCTCTTTATCTAGAAGAGGAATAATTCAGATCAGGAGGGACCCCAATTGTTTTGAAATTCAGACTGAGAATGAAAGGTGGCGGGACTTACCTAATACCTCTGTGCTGATTAATCAGGCCACAGCTTTGATTTTGATCATCATGGACCCTGACCAAAGCAGACCAAAGTCTTTAGGGGTGAACAGTGTCACACTGGTGACAAACAACCTGAGAGCAGAGGGGACTCCAAGTCTGCAAGGTGTTGGAAGGATGAAAAGCACTGTGCAACACTGCACATCATTGGAACAAGTCAGCCTTGTTTCGCTTTTGTTATACTGGATTTCTAGCTCAAAAAAAAACCGCAACTTTTTTTTAAATCTGTTTTTGTTTAAAATTTTGGAAACTTCTAGCAGAAAAAAAAGGGGCTTGAAACTGTTACTGGTTTCTAACTAGAATTCCCACTATACTTTCTTTCTCTCCCTAGGTTAAGTATTAATAAGGGAGCCAGCAGGCTCAAGCCAGAATCTGGTATATGACCTGGTGAAAAGGCCATTTGGTTCTAAGACCTGTAAAAAACTGGCGGAAATGAGGCCTTATTTGCCTATATACGTGAAAAACTAAATTTGCCGATATATGTGTCCAGCTGTAATTTTGAATTATGTCAGTGAGTCTTTACCCTCTCAACTCCAGGTAAATGGGCTTTTACATCCCAGAAGCTTGCTGGGAAAAAAAATTCTCCTGTCATAGAAACTGAGCATGAAGGTGCATGAGTTTACTTTAAATTAGCTCACTTGGACTGTATTAGTTGTCAAACCGATACATTTTAGCACACTACGTTGGCTAGTGACTTAGCACCAGGACTGCAAAGGCAGCTGGAGGTTTAAGACAAATACATCCTGGGGTGCATAACTGAAGACAAAAATGGGTGCATGGGAGTGGACAGAAATACACAGAACTGAGGAAATTACAGAGTTGTAGCTGTTTGGGCAGATCTTTCTGAATTGCCCTGGTGACAATTCTGGCTTCCAGAGGAGACCAATGTTTGGAAGGCACAGGTGAAACACAAGCCATCTTAATTCTGTGCTAAGCTTCTGTATGCAGCAGGGAAGACTTTCACCCCTGAAGTGACACGATGCCGGTACACCACTGCAGGATCTAGAACCAGATTCTGTCACGCATGGCACCTGAAAGCACAGGACTTTCTGGGATAGCACTGATGTCAATAGGGAATTGCAGTAGCCAGGGAAATTCTGGAAACAGAATTAGCCTCACAAACAGCACAGGACTGACTTGAAACTAATCATCTCATTTTATGTCTTATTTCCAACAGTACAGCACCAAAAACACTGAGCTTTGGAGAAAAAGAAAACATCCATCAGCTTCAACTCTGCTGGCTAATCCTT